AAGCATTATGCCAAAGACTTTCCACTAAAATACAAGCATCAATTTCTCGAAAATAAAACTGGTGATACCTAACTTTTTTTAAGTCAATATCCTTGGAGTCCAGTGTATTGCAAAATGAATAAATTCTGGGTATTTTATGTTATGAGTAGGCTTCTACCTTAAGTCCGGACGAACGATTTTCTATTCGGTGTAACTTGTGAGGATATTGTTTAGATGATATGTTGGTGATTATGTATTCTACTGCATGTTACACGATTATTCAATTTATCACCTTAAAGCGGGGGAGTCGTCACCTTCACATGCGTCAGGTGACCACAGCGTGTCATTGTTCACAATCAAGCGTCTACCCACGAGCCCTTGTGTTTTTAGCATGAGTTGTTATCATTGCTTGGGATTCAATTCTCGCGCATGCGCATGTGACGGCCTATCCACTTTAATTACTGACATTTATTTTGACATCATTCTCTCTCACTTTCAGGTGCAACACTCTCAGCATGAACAAACCATTTCCCAACATGACTCAGTGATAAATCGTTCCTTGTTTTTTTGATGCGCATGATGTCTTAAATATGAGACACAATGTAACTGTTGACTCTGATAAGCAAGGGAAAGTGTATGGATATTTGAAACCTCTTAATAGAATTGTTGTGCCAAGTATCGAAAATTTTATTTGGTTTACTTGCCACGAGTTTCATTTTGTAAACTTCATCAGTATATTGAGTGTTTACAGAATTATGAAACCTGAACGTATTCCCTCCACACTGACTGTGAACCAGGTAACGAATTGTGGATGCAGGCTAAACTAATGATACCAGTTCTAGATGTTGTCAATCGAACTGCAGCAAGATAATCTTTGGGAGAAAATTAAATCCTAAATGGCCGCAGCATTCTGCCGACGTTGCCATGCTACAGATTCTGGTGGAGATGGGAGGTGTATACTTCGATACGGACATATTTGTCGTGGCACCGCTTGAGCAACTTCGTTACTATGACTACGTGGTTGGACAGCCATCTGATGCTATTTTGAATAATGGTGTCATTTTCGCTGAGAAGGATTCACAGTTTTTAAAACACTACTATGAATCATATCAGAATTACAGAGGCTCGTTTATACTTGTAGTTCTGTTAAGAAGCAATACCAACTAGCACGGTCACATTTGGATATGTTGCATATTGAACCGAATAGTCTGATCAAACCAACATACACTGATTGGGAACAACTTTTTCTTCGGAAATTTAAATGGAGAAATAAACACTTCACGATTCACGTTATTTAAGAGGCTATCGTAGATATAAAGAAACTAACAACATCACAGAAGAATTTACGCTATAGATAACATCAAATCTTTAGACACTGCTTTTGGTGAAATGTGCCGTAACATCTACTATGGAACGTTTAACATTGTATAAAAATAGAAACATCGTAACCATGGCATCATCACATCTTAAACCGCGTTATCATTTTAATTTGTGGGGAAGCGGGTTAAAGTTAGGTTTCGTGGTCAAAGTATCACTCTTTTAAAACAAGTGTCAAAAATGCCACGATTTTATGAATATATTGTTAATTATGCATACGTTCAAATTCGTACTAATTGTGATAAATCCATCATTAATATATTTGAAAAATAACTTGTACTCACCCATCGCCTCGCTATTGTCTTCTTTGATGCACAACATCTGACTGTTTTCCTTGATTGCCGCAATAACTGTTGAATGATAAGCCAACAAACATGTTAATTAATTTCAATGTTTCACTGGCGTTTGAACAATTGTTGCCACAACTTTGAGAATAGATTTGAAAGGGCAAACCTAGCGGAGTGCACCGGCAATATTTTCAATAGAAGTTTGTTCCCAACTATGACATGTGACCTATGCGTTGTACGACGTTATTCAGAAAAGAAATGTGTTGTACAGCATATACTCTCGGGTTATAGCTCGAGTTATGCCCCAGACTAAAATTTGAAAAGTGTAGTGCATGACTGCCATTTCCGCACACTTTGCTGTAACTGCTCTAAACGATAGTTGTTTACATGTACGTTATTTAATCCCAACTCAAGCTGTTGAAATCAACTCAGTTTAATTGTAGTGTTCAGTTTAAAGTTAATTTGCCGAATGTGATTATTTCAATTTTAGAATATTTTTTTTATATTACATACTAAAATATACACTACATTATTAATACATAACAGAGAGCAAAAATACCAAAATCTACCTGGGGTAAACCATGTTATCAACATGCGGGGGTCTACATTGGAGTTCCATCTATCACGGACGTTCTGACTGGCGTGTAGGATCATTCGTCATTGCACTGTATCGTGTTCAATGCGCGTCTCAAGTGACGTATATAACACGTGTAAAATATACTGTTTGTTTACATGAAATTCATGTGTGTGTGTTTGAACGGGGGTAAAGAAAAGAGACACAGGAATAAGGAGAAAAACAATTATAGTTGAGCATATTAAATTTTTAGATTTTCTGTATCAAGCATCTCCTATGTTAGTGTTGTTGCGAGATACGACAATACTAGATTTATATTCCAGAGAATGATTTTTTCTATATACTTTAATTGCATGTCCTTCTATTAAGGGTCGTCCTGACGCCGTTAAACTTATTAAAATGTTAAAAACGTCCGTTGGACACGCAACACTGTAAGAAACTCTGTGTAATAAAAGAAAAATATTTTGCCCAGGCATGTTGCGCGATTTGTAAATTTAGTAGTATAATTTGGAAGCAATAAACCTACGTATATTGCGTTATAAATTTCAGGGCAATATTTTTCCATAGAATCTTCGCTGAACAACTACCGAAATTCCCTATTGTATTATCAGTCACAGTACGCAGCGTCAGTTGTATAATTTTATTTAAAAAAGAGAATATAATAACTGAAAATGTTGGTCTTATTATTGAGGATATGCTGACAATTTAGGAGCAAACTATTACAGTTACACGTATATTTTTTTTACTACCGGTGAAATGTACCTTTAGTAAAATAACATAACTTTGTCTTTATTTATAGTTTCGCCGTTGATGGCGTCCTCTAAGAATCATGGCTTAACCAGCACCGACAATTTGGGTGCCGGTTTGGGTGTTGCCTTTTGGTAGTTTGGTATTCAACATTGACTAGACCTCAGAAACTAATACATTTATTAGTTGTCTGAGACTAGGCGCAGCGTTCAGATATCTTTCGAGTTCAACGTTAGTTGAGGCAACTTTATCACGACACGAACGTGACGAAGTCGAATTCCGAGTCGGCCGATTCGAAAATTGAATCTCGCTGAGGATGACGTGAGTTTTTAAATTTGGGGTAAATTCAGGGTGAATTCGAACCCTTCGTCCTGTAGTTGAGTGATTCAGGTTAGATAAATTAGTTGCTTGAAGTTCACTTCGCTTTGAAAACCGTAGAATCATGATTGTGTTGTTTGAAATGTAGCACTCGCCATTTTCATGGCAGTAATAACAATATCGATGATACAAACAACTTCTATTAACGTCATAATGTTTGTGTCAACATATTTAATACATTTTTTAAAATTATTTTTTCGATACTTGCTTTGTTGTTTTTAGACCAAATAAACTTAATTTGCTAATGCCCACAGACCTTGATAAAAAAAATTTGAACATGTTTGGACGAATTCTGCTGGTTTACTTTGTCAAAAGCGACAAACGTTATGTTTGGCGTCGGTACATCAAGGGCGCTCCATTCATTCACATTTACGCTGAGTCGTGCAGTGTTGTTTTCGCACGTATAATGATTTTGGAATTAGGTATATATTACAATTAAAAAGATGGCTTAAATAGTTTTTTTTTCAGGTAAAAAAAAGGGGAACGGACAAAACGATTGTTACTTGCAGGAAGTGACGTCATAACGTTCATCGTGATCATGAGTATAATTAAGAAATACGAAATGTAGTATAAAATATAGTGCATTATAACATAATGTTCACCTTTAATTTACAGCAGAAATGCAATCTTTCAAACCAATGAGATAGACATTGCATATGAGGGCAACACACTTTCTATGATGTCAACACACTTTTGATCGCCGCTTGTGTTCCATTGTGTCGCCACCTATGCTAAATATAATACGAGTACGAATGAGACAACTAAGATAAAAAAAAGTAGATAGAATTAGTAATACGAATAAAGTTACTTGGTTCTGTTTCCTGCAGAGTGTCGTCCATTTGTAACTTAATCCCGGAAACTATAAAGGAAATCATTGTTTCACGTCCTTGAAAACCACTGAACCTTTCAAGATGTTTTATAGCAATTGTTGTGTCATCCCAATACTAGCTAATAATAATGATGACCAACTCACCCCGCACAATACACCTGACATACAAAATCCGGGACAAGGTCATGGAGCACTTGACGATCTCAGCAATGTATAGCACATATTTGTGACAGCTGGAGCTTCTCAGCGTGCAACCAACATTCTGAATTGAGCTAAAAATCATGTTCAATATTCGTTAATGTCAGAGTTGCGTGTTAAACTCAAACTGCCCTGAAACGTGAAAATTGTTTTAATATATTTGTGTGTTATACGATTATTTTCAAGAAATATATTTTATTTAATAATTCCGTAAAACATGCAAATAATTTGTACATGTCCTAATTAAACTATGAAATGATAGCGTGAACGATGCGATTACCATAATGTCGGTGGCCTTGAAATGTAGTATATGTACATATATGGCATGTGAACTTTTTTGAAGTTAAGACTAGAAGTGTTTATGGCGGCTGCATGTAGTATTGATATCGAAATAATAGCGGAATAATTGGTGC